TTATGACCCAGATACTTTGTTCTGGGCAGACCCAAACCCTCAGACTGACCACAAACTCTCGGTTTGATTAGTAGGCAAATTTTATTGATACACAGTGATGGAAAAGAATAATGCAAACAGTTCTATAGCTACATTCCTACCTCTCACAGGGTTAAGGTACGTCTGGCAAGTACACAAGCTTCACCCTGAGGTTCTTTCTTGAATGTCAGATGTCAGCAGCCTGGAGGTCGAAGGCTGAGGCGTGTTGTATCTGCCTCCCATCCTCCCTCCAATGGGGTGGGTGAAATGGGCTGGTGGTGTGCCCTCTGTCCATGGTGGCCTCAGGTTCCCCTCTCAAGTACCCTTTGCTGCTCTGAAATCCCTCCTTTTGTATCCTTTCTCCTGTCCATGTTCTGTTCTGTCAGCATGTTCCTTTGTTTTACAAACCCATCACATGCATGCATCCTAATTTGGGTTTTTACCAGTTTCTCCCAATTTGGTCTGTTCTCCAAAACCAGAAATCCCAAGGCTTCTGCAGTTGGGCACCGTGACCTGGCCAACATGGCAGAGTCCCTTACCTCGTTATGAAACAGTGTGGTACATGTCTTCAATTTCCCAACCTGTGCATCTGCTTGCTGCTTGCCTGTGTCAGACACAATGGGCTTTGAAGGAAACTTTATCACAAACAGGCTTTTAGAAATCAGTTAGCCCTTGCTGTTGCCCTGGACCATTGTTCTAATGCAATACATCTACTTTACCTACAAGCCAGTTTCCAAAAGCAAACCTCTAAATACCATTTTGTAGCCAACACTTGTAGCTGGTATTTGGCAATAAGCTTCCAAAGCTTTCCTATCATTCATGGTCTTTGAAACTTGATTGCTACCAGTAGTAAACATGAAGCAAAATTCCATATCTGCTCTGAATGTACCAGGATCAACACAAAATCATTCTTCTTGTGTTGAGTGTGCTCACTGATCCTAACCACTACTTTGGCAGGTGCCGTGAATTCTGTGATAGCTATCAATAAGATGTTTTATCTGCTGATAGTGACAAATGCAGTTGTTTTCTAGTATCCGTAGTTAATGGCTGATAATAGTATGCATCCATTTTATATGCAGAGGGCTGAATGTGTGCATTTAATTGCAGTTTTCAGGTAGGCCAGTGCAGTTTGTTCTGTGCTTACATATATTACTCAGTGTAAACCAGAATGAATCTAGCTTGAATAATATTCAGAGGGTTTGGTCCAGTTTCATGGGTAGAGCTGAAGAAGTTTGACTACGTAAAAAATTTTTCTTGCATACTTTGGCCTTGGTTTCCTGTGTGTGGTTGTTGTTTTGTTTTTTTTTGTTTTTGTTTTTGTTTTTAGTGGTGTTTCTTGAACTCTGAAGGATTTGCAAAGATAGGCCTTGGGCTTGTTTGCCAAGTTACAATAATAAGTAACATGCCAACTGAATTGCAATGGAAAATAGCTTAGTCCCGTGACATAGTGAGCTGTGATCCAGGGTCCTACATTAAGAAAGCATTTAGTCTTGTAATCTTTGCTCCTGCAGCTGTTGGAAAGCAGCAATTATTATATGCATTAAGGAGCCTTGTTCAGTTAAAGGAATCCAGCTGGCCTAGCTACCTTGGCTACAGTCTTCACCTTGCTGCCACCTCTCTCCAGCTGTTCAGCCAGGTGCTCAAGCCAGGGTTCCTCAGTGTTTATCTCTGGCAGAACTGGGGCTGGGACCTGAATTTCAAGTCTTTGCCATTTAAGAGTCTTTAATGCTGCTATCCATATCAGGTGTAAGGCCCTTCATTTCTTTCTTGTCTCTACTTCTGGGATTGTACTGATGAAAAGAGAGGTCTTCAATGCCTACTGAAAGAATTTCGTCTTGTAGGGAGTGCTGATGTTTAAAGTTGAGAGCTACTTTAGTCATATGCCAGAAGACTCTGGTCTATATTATTTCTGAAGACAACTTGCATGTGTTTTAAAAATAAGTGTTCTTAGCCTTAGGACTCTCTTGTTTTTCTATCTCCTCTCTGAGTAGGATTTACTGTTTGCACTCAGTTTTCCTGGAAAAGGGGGGCTGCCTTCTGGATATTGTTATATAGCCTTGGGTTAACTGCATGGATTGTATGAGACATCACAGTAGCAACCTGCAGGAAACAGCACTCAGCCAGAGAACAGGGTTGACTGGTCCATGCCTTGATGAGGGAAATTGCATCTGTGAGGGAAGATGACGCTAGTTGTCCTCATGTTGTTGTCTTTTCATAGCGGCTGCTTGTTTTATTCCCAAGTTGCCTTATAGATTCATAGATTCATAGATTAAGGGTCGGAAGGGACCTAGTAGATCTTCTAGCCCGACCCCCCGCCAGGGCGGGAGAACAACAAAAACCCCAAAAAGAGAAATGGGACTCAAACGAGTCCAGCTAGGTGGGCATCCAGCCTCTTCTTAAAGACCCCCAGGGTAGGGGCCAGCACCACTTCCCTTGGAAGTTGGTTCCAGCTCCTAGCCGCCCTAACGGTGAAGTAGTTTTTGCGGATGTTCAATCTATACCTCCTCTCCAACAGCTTGTGCCCATTTCTCCTTGTTATGCCAGCGGGCGCTAGGGGAAACAGCGTCTCCCCCAAACCCCTCTGGTCCCCCCTAGTGAGTCTATAGACAGTCACCAGGCCTTGAGTCACCTCTCTTAACTTTTCATGTTCCCCTTACAATTATGAACACAACATTGTTGGGAGATGCAGTGAACAGACAAGCGGAGCTGGGTATGCCAGTCCTTTTCGGCATTCCTGAAGTTGAAGTCAATCCAGTAAGCAAAAATCTAGCATATAGGTAAGGAGAAAGCAGCACTTCTGGACAATTGCTTTTTCCTTCTGACACCCATCCTTTTAAGTCTGTCTATACCGAATGTAGTAGTACTGGTTGAATTCCATCTTTTCTCTGTTTTGGAAGAAGGGAGTAGCACTTAGCTGCTGTAGTTCAGGTTCTTTACACAAATCCATTTATGGTTGGGAGATCTGAGAGAGGAAAATACAGCCTGACTTCTAACCTTACCCCAACCTAAATAAGATGATTGAGCATTCACTGGGGATGTGCTAGATTAATTTCTAAGATACAACAAATTGTGCCTGACAGTCTTAGGCCTCTTTCTGTGTTCTTTCCACATGTTAACTTCGGGCAGTTCATGAAAGTGGATGGGACAATCGCAGTGATTGCTGAGTGAGGAGAGGAAAACCTAAAACCCTGTGACTGAGGAGAGAGAGCCAGAAATCTAATTAATTGATGGAAAGTGAATGCAGTGTTTTCATTGCAATGCCTCCCTATGGTATAGCACACCTTGTGCTCTTTTTCTGCTGACTCTAGCTTTGGATTAAAGACTTACTACTACCTAAGGGTGAATCTTAGCTCTCTAAGCCACTTTCCTGCTAAGAGGGAGTCATTTTAGTTATTAGGGCCTGGGTTCAACAGAATGCTTAAGTGTGTGCCTTGAAAGACTTGCTTCATAAAGTCCTTTTGACTAGGGAAATGCTTAGGTTCCAGTTCAGCAAGGCACTTTGCAGTGATGTTACTGATGTTTTGCACAGGTTTGTTACAGGTGACCCAGGGCAGTGAAACACCTGTAGGAGATCACCAGAGGTTCCTGGTTGGTCTCACTTGGGGAAGAGTTTTTTTTATGAGTTTGGGGAAGCCAAGGCTCTATATGTATGCCTTCTCTTTGTACCCAGCCCATCTGTGATGTTAAGTGTTCACAGAGGATTTGAAGGTGAATGTGTAATTTTTCTCAAAGCACAAAGGTGATCTCCAGGACATGGTCCAATTGTTCTACCTTGTTCAGGATCTTTTGAGGTCTGTAATATAAACCCGATCTTCTGTAACAGTGTGGGGGGCATGGCTGAGAGGGAGTGAATGCTTTAAAGCAGGGGTAAGCAATCAGGGTGGATTTGATTTAAATCAAATAAATTAAAATCATGATTTAATTCACACCTTAAATCACTAGTCGGGAAGCCTTGTTTAATCATCATTTTCTACAAAAAGTGCATTCTTTTGTTCGATGTCCTCTATTCATTTAACTTCTTGAAACTTTGCACTTGAGAGAGGTAAGGGCTTACGTCTGTGTACACAAACTTGCAGAGAGCCAATAGGGCTGATGGTAGGTAATCAGGTCTGTTCTCTCTCATCTCCATATACTGCTGTTAACAAGGGTGTTATCTCTGGAGAGACAAATCCAGTTTGAGAACTGAAATGAAGCATTACAGAGATGTTTAATGGGATCTTCTAGACTGAGCACTGAGTCCCATTGCATAAAGTGGTTTTATTTAATTTTACTAATCTACAGAGAAGCCTCTGGGAACCCCATAAGATTGGGCCCCTAATATAGTCCATAGCCTGTTGTGATCTATTTATAAAACTTTTCTAAAAAGGTTACATGAATATATTGTCTCAAATAGTATATAATTAGAAGCTATAATCCCTATTCCATGATGATATCTTTGAGGTTTAACGTACCTTGTATGAAAACTATCTTTATATCTTTAAAAAAGCATCTTAACAAAAAAAACCCAATTAAATTAAAAAAAAAAAATGGATTTAAACAAAAATCTGGGGGGGGGTTAATTAAAAAAAAAAAAAAATCATTGATGTATACACCCTGGTCAGCAGCCTGCAAAGAGATTTGATCCAGCCTGTGGTAATCAGCAGCTTTTGGCAGCATGGGGAATTAGAGGCATATGTCAGCATTTGGTGGCTTGGGGATTTGGTGGTATGGTGGGGTATGGTATTTGACAATCCATGTCCCTATTATGGAAGTTTTAAGAATTGGTTTGATTTAAGTGGTACAGTTTTTTCTGTGTGCACTTCTGCCAGTCTTTCCACCTCTTCAGTGGGGCAAAAGTCAAGGTCTTCCATTGTGGACTCGAAGGAAATGAAAAAACTATCTTTAAAAAGTTCGAGTTTATGTAAAATTGTTGTCAGATCACTGAGCTCCGGTAACTGATGATGAACTTGAATAACCATCCTGTGCATTTATCTCTCCATTAGAAAAAGAAAAGCAGATGAGGTGGATGGGACTGTGACTACAAAAAAGAAACAAAAAAAAGAAAAGGATAAAGAATCCAAACAGGAGAAGCTGCTGAAGGTTTGTTTACTGAGGAATCCCAAATCTTTAAAAACTGTTTTGTTCTTTTTTTTAAAGAGAATTAAACGCTGGTAAAAGGTGCAGACATGTAGAATCCTTTTTGTCACATACCAGACACAGCATAAGCTGCAGAAGTGCTGCCCTGTCCCAGTGAGAGACAATTTCAGCCTGTTTGGTCATTGGCATCTCTGAGATATGAAGGATCTGTTATATGGACCCTTATTCACTAGGTTCAGGGCTGAAGGCAACCTCACTTCACGCAAGTCACTAAAAGGGACTAGGTGGTAACTATTGAGCTGTGCCTGTCTGGATCTGAAGTGGCAATGGAGAAGTCGTCTTTATCTTAGCCCTTTCTGTGCCATAAATGTGGTCTGGCTACAGAAGCCTATGAAGTTTTTCATACGTAAACTTGAACAGAGGCAAGGATTTGAACTAGTTTGAATAGTATATTATACTTGGCTGATTACTTCATATATGTCTGTGACTCATCTGTTCTTTAGTATGAATCTGGATAAATCTTAGCTTTGTAGAATACAGAGGACAGAATTCCTGGTGGAGTGTCAGGAATTTTATAGCTGTTAGAAGTTTGGCGTAGATGCCTTCCAAGAAAATATTACCAGCAGCCTTTTGCCAAAGTCTTAATGGATCTGCAAAAACAGATTACTCAGAAGAAAATTGTGCATCTGCCTTTAAATTATAGTTGAGATGATTTTTTTTTTTTTTCCTGTTTTGCTTCATAGTTCCAGCTTATGTCCTAAGTAGGGTATGGCATTTGACAATCCATGTCCCTATTATGAAAGTTCTAAGAATTGATTTGATTTAATCTGATGCTGAGATTAAAAATCTGGGGATTCCTCAGGCTTTTTAAAGTATGATTAATTCATCTGTCAAAACTGTTAGTACAACTACATTTTAAACCAATTTAATACACCCATCAGCTATTTATTGTGACCTGTGGCATTGGAAAAAATAGTTCTTAGTGTAGATGGATAATGAATACCTGTACGTTATTAGAAATCTCTCTTTGTTGCATGTTCCTTTATCCATTTCTTTCCCCCCTTGACAGAAAACTCCAAAGAAGAGTTTCATTATTGCTCCAGGTGATTGACATGTTTAAGTTACTGCTGTAGATGTGTGAACTTGAAACGAGGACAGTCCAGCTCAGAATGTGTGGGGTCTATTTCCAACATGTGGTCCCAAACACTTCCATTTGTTCATCTATAAAATGGGTTAATACCTGCTCATCATGGTACTTGAAGCTAATGAATTGGTATTTGTGAAATTTGAGAGATCTGTCAAGGAAATGTGCTATAGAATGACAAGCGCCACTCCTTGCCTTATGAAATGCTAGCATAAAGTGATATCTCCTTTCTGTGAGACAGGACACCCTTTGAATCATAATAAAGGTAGCAGTGCAGTATTTCTGGATTCTTGTGTGAAAGAGACACAGTAGTCTCTGCTGTGTGCTTGGCAGCAATGTCAGAAATCCATCTGGGATGTTGCTTCCCTTGACAAGTATGATTTGTTGATGATATTAGCTGTTGATTAATCATTCATGTAAGCAGCTGATTACCTAAGAAAGTAGTTCTTGCTTTGAATTCTGGGGTTACAACTTGCTGAATGTCCCACTTAGGATGGCAGCTCTTGGTAAAGCTGCTGGAACTTAGTGATTTACCTTTTTGCAAGTCATCTGTAATGTGCCATTGCTCAGTAGTATGGTGTATTGAAAGCCTGTCAGTAGCCTGCTGCTTCAGGATGGATCTTGGAAAGCAATTGCAAATATCTAAGCTGCCAGTTTTCGTTAACAGGAACAGACAGAATTGATTTGGAACATCAAAGATGAACTGAGGAAAGCCTGCTCCACCAATGACCTGAAAGAGCTGCTGATAGCCAACAAACAGGAAGTGCCTTCCGGGGAGTCTGCTGTGAGTCGGTTTTATTTTCTTGTAGAATGTTACTGTGCACCTATGTGCCTGCACCTCTGAGTTGTTGATGAGCTTGGCTCAAAACAGCGTAACAAACCAGTTCCTGAAGTCAAAGGTATATTGTAAAATCTCAAATACAGCATCTAACCAGATTGCAAAGCTCAGTTCTTCTCTCATAGCACTCCAGTGAATGCTGCTACTCTACCTGTCTATGCATAGGGGTTGAAATGGTAGGGGTTTAAATTCATCCATTTAAAAAGATGGGGTTTTTTGCAGCACTTCTTAAAGCATCATTAATGCTTCCAGGGGGTTTCTGAGGGGAGCAGATGCTCTGAGTGTCTAGAATCAGTGCACCAGAAGAAACACTTTTCAAGGAAGAGCATTGTGGACTCTTTCCTCCCATCTATATATTATATTCAAGCACAACACCCGTCCTCCTCTGCTCCCTCCAAAGCAGGTCCTTGGCTATCATGTCTTTGCAGGCCTTGCCCCGCCATTCCCTTCCCCCCCTATCACGTGGTGTAATCCAGCCCCTCTCCCTCCTCAGGTCCAGCCAGCTGCCCTCAGCCCTGCATGTGAAGGCTTCCCGTGTGCTGTCTCAC